ATCCATATTTATTCTGTCTACAAACCTAAGTTCTAATTCACTGTCACATTGTACAACCATTTCTTCCGAAGCTCTTTTGTAAATTTGTGCAAATGGATTTTCTAATAGAATTTCAGCTGGTTTTGACAATATTTCAGGTTTTAAGTCACTATTTTCTCGACGCCTTTGACGAATTTCTGTTGCTGTTGATGTGTCAATAATGTACAATTGGCCATACACGGGGTCTTCATCATGTTGAGGCAGCAAATCTGAGATTGAACGATAAATCTGTCCTTGAATTTTGAAACAGTATGGTCCTTTTCCTGGAATATCTTTCTCACTGGCTGAAAAATAAGCAAAAGCCATCGCACTGTTGCATTGTCGAATGAATTTATACAGTTGTGGGCTCTCTTCAAACAAACAAGTTCTACATTAGTTTTTGACTGAGGAAGGTTAATAAGTCCGTTATGGCAACATGTCATAAAATGATTATTTGTTAGTTCTTCTCTAAAATGAAGAGCACTACATTGAATGCACTCTTGGTCCAGTAATCCTGCATCATGGATCTTTACATTTCTCTCGTCTACCATGGGTCTCCTAAAAAGGGGTTGTAACATATCTTGATTAAGTTCGTCATTATCTACTCTTGCTCTCCTACGCGCACTGCCATTCCTATGAACAGTTCCCCGCCTTTGTGGTATTCCCCTGGCGTTCATATTAATTACAGTACTTATAATGAAAAGAATATATATCCAGCAGCCTACATACCAAAACATCTTGAATCCCTGGTGATTTTATAAAAGTATGATCGAATATGATTACTCTACGTTGTATATTCACTGCATTAAATAAAGATAAAACTCAAAAAATTGTTTTTCGCCTTAGACCGTGTGAATTAAATATGTTGGATGGCTATGTAGACAACGTGAAATTTCTTGGTATTTATCTGGATAAGACTCTTTCCTGGGGACCTCATATTGATTACATAAGTTCTAAGCTTTCAAGGGTAATTTGTCTTATGACTAAACTAATACATTGTATAGATCAAAATTATATTAAAACAGCCTACTTTGCTTATTTTCAATCCATTTTTAGATACAATATTATATTTTACGGCAATTGCAGTAGGATAGAGGAAATTCTAGTCTTACAAAAGAAGTTGGTTAGAATTATATCCTATGAACCCCAACAGGAACACTGTAAACCCCTGTTCATTCAGCTACAAATTCCAACAGTGATTAACATTTATTTATTTGACTCTGTATCATACGTTCTAAAAAATCCCAACTTAATCAAACAAATTTCTCATGTTCATTATACTAGGAATAAAAGCGTTGCTGCCATAGATTTTTTCAGACTGTCTAAAACTCTTAAAAGCCATATTGTAATCTCACTAAAAATATACAACAAACTAATACATTTAATACAAAAATATCCTGAAAACACTTTTAAAACAAAATTCTACAGATGGCTTTTGAACAACCCATTCTATTCTCTAAATGAATTTTTTGAAATGTCTGGTATTAATTTTTAAGTAGAGTTAAGAGTTTGCGAATTGACCAAATTATTTACTGTTGGATTTTGTTGGTTATGCGGTTTAATCACTTCCATTATTTTCAATGCCACAAATTTTTCTTAAGATTAAGATTACCTATTCAATTGTAATATTTAAAATGTGTATTGTAAAGTGTCTCATTTTATGTAGTTAGCTATATTGTATCTTACTGTATTTATTAACTGACTATGTTATAAACCTTAGCAGTTGTATGACTTTGTCAATAATTTGTGAAAATTCTAAGGACAATAAACACATTTCATTCATTTCATTTCACTAAAAAAATTTACTTACGAAGGAATGCAAATACACCATTTTAGAACCAATAACATTTATAGGTTATTTTAGTTGTATATATTTACACAACCTTAACCTTAAAATGTGTAGAAATATAAAGAAAACAACATCATTTAAAATAAACTTGAACATATGATTTAAAAATAAAAACAAAACAGAAGTTAGATTTAATTTGGACTCTTTGATTATTTATACAGAATATTTATTCTATGTCGTTTATTCCTTTAACACGACAATAACGTAAAAGCATGAAAAAATGAAACTTGAGTATATGATTTAAATATAAACAAATCATATAAAACACATAATCCTCTTCATAACTGTGGAGAGTCGTTATAACACACAAGACACGAACACGAAAACATTAAACATTAAACAAAATTGGCCAATTATAATACTGGTACGGTAGCGTGCGTGGTGTAGCCGGCAAAAGATGAGTCATGACTCCACGCACGCTACCGTACCAGTATTATAATTGGCCAATTTTGTTTAATGTTTAATGTTTTCGTGTCTTGTGTGTTATAACGACTCTCCACAGTTATGAAGAGGATTATGTGTTTTTAACTCTGGTAACCAGCTTGAAAATGAACCTTTAGGTTCGAAACCTGGGTCGCTGACCTAAATTCCAGGATCACAGACAGTAGGCCTACTACAGGTATTTAACATCTTTATTTGCCTTTTCATATTTGGCAAAAACAATTTCCAATAATTCAATCGGGGATTTTTTTTATTGTCACTAACCAAAAGACCAAAGCTACCTAAGTAAAGCAATATTTATTCACAAACATGTTTGCTGCCTTTAGCAGAGTTGAATGAGCCTCTGGAGTAATTTATTTTGTATTTATTTATATTATTAATATTTGTCAGCAATTATTCATTCAAATTATTTATTGTAAATAACATCAACAAAAGACAAACAACAAATTGTTTTTTTCAACAAAAGATAGGTTGTACTGGGATATCTATCCTGACACATAGATAATTTGATTCAGAGTTTGTTTAAATATTACAATAATTTGTTTTACATTTGAGCGTTTTAGAGACTTGTGTCTCTACAAGCCACTAGTATTCTTTATAGTATAAATCCACATGTTAAGATAATAAATTAAGTTTGCGTCAAACATAGTACTCGAATGGGTGGATTATTAATTGATGAGTTTGGAAAGCAGATAAAATTTGTTGAGTTGACAACAAACTAATTAAATTAATACCCCACTTGTAATTGGAATACTATTTAATCCATGCACAAGCCACTTATATGCTTTAAGTTTACCCAAATAAATCATCGTCTTTATTAAAGTAAAGTATTAAAGGTATTAACATTTCCTTGAGAAGTTAATCCAAAGTAAGTAGGCCTACTTCAAATTAATATAAATTTTCAAAAAGCAATATATGTTTCCAATAACCTACTTTGGGATAATTTCTTTATGCCAATGTTAACTAGCTTAACTAATGACTTAGTCATGACCTACAATGAGTCACATTAGATAATTATCTGTATTTACCCCTTAGGGGCGGTTCACGAGCTCGGGACTATCGTAGTCCGAGCCCAGAATCCGGAAATAACCGGTATTTGGGCCGCGACTTAAAAAATCGGGTTCACGAGGTCGAGACTATATAAGCCGCGGACCAAACTGATAGGCGGCACACAATTAGTGCAGGGATAAAACCCGGTTTTAAAAGTTGGGTTCACGAGTCCAATTACAGATAGTCCCGGCTTCTGATCATTAGTCCCGGTGGGTTCACGAGTCAAGTCCGAGCCCAAATGAGATGGTTCGGGCCCAAAAGAACAATGATGTTTGGTCTCCAACTCAGACCTGGTAGGAGGCAGGTTTAAGGTGACATGATGTCGGTTTTATCTAGTTAGCTCCTTAATTTTTATTTGGTAAAAACTAATGTTTAAATATGGTTCCTCATTAAATTCCGAACAATTTCATTACTCACAACACCATATTAAACAAATATGTAAAAATGGTAAAAAGGGTCATAAAACATGAAAAAATCATCAAACAACTTAAAACGACAGATAAATTATGCACTAACAAAGTAGTATCATAAGATATTTTTACTGATAAACCCCATGTTACCTATTACAATTTAAATGTCAAAATTATGCGTAGAATATAAATATAACCATATAACTAATCAGCCACAGTTAAACCATTGTTATACCACAGTTAAAACCATAATTATCAAAAATAGTTTTTTGCCGTGGGAAACATCAAGCAAACCGTCAGTCGTTGAGTACGGTTCGCGGTGATATCACCGTCTTGTGTTGTAGGCTACTTACTGGTCGCCGTGTGTATTGAATATGACTATGAAATATGTATACTGTATTATGTTAACAATTACCATCACTCCACTACCTCGCATAGGACCAGCTCGTTATCATGACTAAAACCCTTTTATGACTTGATGAATTTAAAGATAGATTTAAATGTTCCAAAGATGCCATCAATGAGTCATTTGAGGTGTTCACTCCAAGGCACGGATTTCCCGACACCAAAATCCAATTGAAAAAAAAATGTTAGTTGCACTAATATTTTTGGCTGATGGCACTTTTCATCGAGAAACTGGTGATTTATTGGATGTTAGTAAAGCTTGGATGGTAGCTATTTGTTTGGTAATGAAAGCAGAATAAATCAAATTTTCAGTTTGAAACTATGTCCAAAGAAAAAAAACAATAGGCCTAGTTTAAATCCCCTTGAAACGTTACAAAGGTCAATGATAAAAACACCTCCAGGTATACAACGTATGTTAATTAGGTTTTATTCATGATAAGACTAGTTGAGCATTTGTCTGCTGGGAGGATCATGATTGATTGATTTTATCTCAGGGTTATCTATCATCAGCTGTTAGGTTTTGCAGTTAACTAAGAAGTTATTTCCGTGCATTGGTGTAAATAAGTCTTGAAATATAATTTTTACTGCATTTGTTTACCTGAAAAGGTTTAGGTATTTGAAGAGGTGAAATATGCAGTTTAATGTTGTGTTCCTTTACTCTTTTTCTTATTTGTTAATAGAGTATCCTATCAAATTTATAACTAAACTACGAACCATTTAGAGCATATCTCCCTCAAACTCTTGCCAAATACAGTGTACTCACTTTTAAACTTAGTTTAAGTAGAAACTTCAACTTTTACTGGTGGTGAATCAGTGTAAACACTTACCAACAATGGTCAGCATGCTGTAGGAACTGAAGATGGACACTTTACACTCTTTCTCCCAGTCTGTGACTGTTAGAGAGACAGGCTCCAATAGTTTGATGAACTGATCTAGAGGACAAGCAGCCGAACATCCAGGCAGAGTCAGCAAGTACGGGTCCTCACTGCTAGAGTTGCGGTAGAACATCTGGAATTATTCTAATTAGTTTTATTCAGCACAAAAATAAGGGAGCAGAGTTATAATGATAAATGTCGGCCCTATACCCATCTAATACAACGTGAAAGAGCTTTGGGTTGTAAGATGTAATCTAGATACTTGACCAGTAGGCATCTGCAAAGATGCAAGGTTGTAGCAAACCTGGCAACTCACGCAGAAGGAAAGTGAGCTTTTCCTCCCGCCTCTCCAGAGTGACTTTAACACATTTACGGTCGTAGACCATTGTTTATTAAGTGTTTGATTATGTTTATGAGAGGAATGTTTATTTTAAAATAAAGCACTTTATTCATTCATTCATATTCATTCGTTCATTCATTCTAACACATTTAGCAACTCTTGCAGAAGTTTGATCCGATGGAACTGGGATGAGATCACAAAAGAAGACCCGATAAGACAATGTCCCAAAAAGAGCACCGTCGTCCGACCATCATGGCCAATTTCGCTGCAGTACCTCCAGAGAAGCAAGGGGCGACAAAACAAAAGCTTCCGCTGATTTGACAGCTAGTTTTCAATCTATGAGAGTTTCCAGGAGTGCTTACTCCCATAATATAATATGCAATTATTGTTTGCTGGAGCAGTGGATATTCTTCTACTGCACCACATTCTTCACTTCCACAAGAGTTGCCCAGTGTGCTACTAGTTTTAACCATTCCAATTCCATGCTAAATTTGTAGCTACTTTTAGAAAAAAAAATAACCTAGCTGGATTGAGCCACTGATGTACCTAAAATACTAACTACTCTAATATGAACCAAATTTTTAACCAAACTTTAAAATTGGCTACAGTTGGTCCATTTAGATGGGCTGTCTACATCAGTATCCAAGAGTTGATGATAGTACCTACCGTGACCAGATGGTCGCCAGAAGAGTTGACCCTGAGTTCCATCATGAAGCACACCGTGTATGGAGGGTTGATCATGTTATACACTCCCAGAGTGTGGAGTAGGTTGGACACTGTTGTATCATGAGCCGAGTACATGTTCAAGTTGCGTTTGGGTTTTGGTTTGGTTACCTTCTTGTCTTTCATACTAGTGATCATCTCCTTCACCAACAGACCTGTGGAAACATCATAAGAGTAATTTAACTGGCTGTTAATTAACATTATGTTACTCTTTGTGCTCTGGGATTATTTTGTGATTTCATTTTCATTATATTGAATTTTAGCCTTCTGATCCCATTTAAATACTATAAATTGGTGTAAAATACCTGCATTTATGCGATCTTGTTTGTAGGAATGAAGCGAGAAGACATCTTAACTGCCTGAAGATGACTCCAATGTGAGTTGAAACCGGTAACAACTCGGCTACAAACAAGATCGCATAAATGCAGGTATTTTACACCGATTTCATTTTGTTTGATTTTTTTTAAATGAATAAAGGAAATAATATGTTTTTTCCACATCTTTTGTAGAATGAATAACGGAAATACATACTTTTAAATAGCCTACATCTTGAAATATAAATAAATAAAACCTCAAACCACCATGCCCACATTATTGTCACAAGGCTGAATGACTAGACTATCTAATAACTGGACTTGAAATCAGGTTTCCTTGAAAGAAGTGCTACACTCCAATACACTAGTCACGTTCCTAGGTACTACATAATAAGAATGGCTTAATGTTTTATAATATCTTGTTGTTTAATTTATATAATTATATATTTGATCAATTATGGTTTTAATAACTGATTTAGAGGGATGTGCGTCTTGTATCGCAGTCTAGTTGTACCTCGGACCTAGGCACAACTAGTCGGAGGTACAACTAGACAGTGGCGTACCCGACAGGTTGTACCTGCAGATTTTTAAGAGGTAAAAGTAGACAGCAATACATTTTAGAAAATTTCTCAAATAGGAAATAAGTTATTACCATAGACTAACCAACATACAGTGCACAACAGTAGTGCTTTACTGTTTTTTTAAACCATTATTAATCAACTGCTGGTTAAATTAAATACTAAATAGGTTACTGAGCAGGTTTTGATTTTACTGGTAGGTATAATCAAAAATCTTGTTTGTCCTAATTAGTAGTTTAATTTCTGTAGTTTTAAACATCTATTATTTAAAAAATATTTTTTAACACCACAATAAGTGTTGAAGTCCAACAGTTTTGTCACAAATGTACTAACGATGCTTTTTATTCACCTTGTAGATAAACATTATCATGAACTAATTCCTGCAACCGACCTAGTTAAAATTATCTAATAACTGATATTCAAACTATCTACCTGATTTGAGGCGAGCCAGTTTCTTTGTCCAAGTAGGTAGTACAAAGCTGTATTTAGAAGCCTCTGCCATCGGATGAGGGAAAATAGACTTGGTCCACTCTGGTATCGAGAAATTGTACAAAGTCTGAAACATTAACAAGTACTTGACAAAAAACAAAAAGATATAAATAGGCCTAGTTATCTATATACTGTATAAGCCAAAAGTACCCATGAACTTTTGAAACAACTGCAAGTCACACACCCATAAACCATATACTTAAAATGTTCGTCATGACGAGAAACCTTGCGCAAATCCATTATCCACTATCCATTATGTCATAAATTGCCCTTTAAGGTCATAATTCCTTTCTAAAGGGAACTTTTCATATACTTATAATGTTAAAAATACCTCAGCTGTACTTATTTGTTTGTTATTCTTTTGATGTATTACCTTATTAAAATCAGGTGTGATTATTTGTTTCTTTTACTGTATTTTGTTTACTTCAGGTTAACTTAACCAATCAATAGTTTTATTAAACGGGGTGAAGGCCGTGGGTAACAACTAATTATCATGTAAGATTCAATGTTTTAAGAAGTCCTAACATGTTACATCCTGATGCCCACTAACACTTTTATTGGTATATATACACAGCAGTTTGGACTTTTTATCATTTTGGGCTAATATTATTCAAGAATTGATATGAAATATTTCCACCGCTGATAAGAGAGTTATGGAAAGTAAAATAATGTACAAAGTTTGTATGGTACACAAAGTCTTTAGGTAAACAATAGATAAGTGACTTTTGTAACTGTTATTGTAAACATAGATTTTTTTTAATTTTTAAACTCTCATGATATTTTATAACTTTATTCATAATAGGCCTAATGTAATATTTCAGTAGATATGAAATGTACCTCAACCCAAAGAGTATTGTAGACCCAGTCAATACGTTCAATAGTAGTAACCTGTTCACCAGCATTTTGGTTCAATACTTTGTAAACTTCTATGAAAGTGTTGTTCAATGCTTGCATTTCTTCGGTTTGCATCAACCTGTTAAATTCTTCTTCATATGCTGGACATGGTTTTTTTGCCGCCAACAACTTGAACATCAGACAACTAGTTTAGTTTTACGTATTATTTATAAAATAATGAGCATAAAGTTTTGTAAACAAATAAATTAGATACCTATATAAAAGATCTTAGATCATATATTTGGGTGGATCTTAACACTAAAAATAGGTCACACACAACTCTTTTCCAATAAAAGGTAATATTTATGCATTTCTATCTAGGTGGGTTAGATTTTAATCATTTGCCAACAAACGTTTTGAATGACACAATATGGTTGGTAACTGGTACACACTGTGAAAGTACTTTAACTCACATTGTCAAACTTATCAGGAACGGTGTGTACAGGGATTGGTTGCCAGTTGATGTTTTCATTCCACACTTGAGCTTCCTTGGGAGGATACAGACCTGCCAGGTTACACTCAGCACTCATCAACGTTCTGTCAACATCAGTGCTTCTGACGTAGATCATGTCTCGACTATACTGCTCCGTCAACAAAGCGTCATATCTGTTCCGCAACCACTGGCCCAACTCAAAATGTTGCTCTTTTCCAGTCTGGAAAAACATATTTTGAGTCAAGAGAGATAATGCAATAAAAGAAAATAACAAACTAACAATGAAAAAACAAAAAAATATTGTAACGATAAACAAACATTATACAATAATAAAACTTCAGGAAATATTAAATGAGCAATCTTTGGCCTCTAGGAATTTAAAATATGAGGAATTTATCAGGAGCATTACTTCGAGAATGATTTAAGACAGGAAAGAAAACTAACAATATTGCAAATTAGAAAGGGTGAGTATAAAGTGTAACTATTTTAGAGAAAACTAAATGAATACTAGCATGAGCAGTATGTCCAGTGTTTAAGCCACCACGATTCATACGAGGGCCATCAATTGCTCATTGTGTTTTATTACAAATCCAAACACTAGAGCTTCAATTGAGACAGAATAAAATGGACAGTGTTCTGGGACTCAATAGGCTTGGGATTCACAATTTTCTTATAATAATTATAATTATAATTGATAACTGTCAAAGAAAGCTTCTCAAACATATTAGTTTTTTTTATTTTCCTCCGCTTTGTGTAAATAAATGCCTGCATGGACATAACTTTTCTTAGTGAGAGGTTATGTTTCAATTCATCAAATGTTCAGGAAACAAGAAACAAACGAATATACTTTTTTTCTCCAGTTAGACACTGCCTCTTCAATATTTTAGAAACCTCTGGTCTATGAACCAGGAGAACAAAGACTTCGGAATATAGCATTGATTATAAATCAGATAGATGATAAAGCAATTTTTCAAACTATATTTAGAATTTTACATTTCTGCTGCCATTATTATGTATAGATAGGTGCCTGCCACAAACCGCCATGGAATTAGTAGCGCTAGAAATATTTATATTTGTTAAAAAGGGAAAAAAATTTTTAATTTAATCAATTGTACCTTGCCAACAAGTTTTGTAAACTTGGCGAGGCCAAGATGTTGTATTATCACAAATAAATATATTTGAATTTGAATTTTGAACTATCAGCACTGAAAAAAATTTCAATATATTAAGGAAAACCTTGTTGTGATCTTTAACACAAACAAAAACATCTTTCATAAGTAGGAGTGGGGGGGTCCAGGGCCGGATCTAGGAACCGTGAAACCAAGCAAAGCAGGGGGGCCCAAAGAGCTCATAAAATTTAAAATTATTTTAATGCATATGAACATAATTGAATAGGACAGTAAGTTTAGTTTTGACAGACAAATATTGTCAATATCAAAGCTAAAAGTTAAAACTATTAAGTAAATTTAGACCTTACTGATTTTACTCGTCAACAACTCGGGACCTCGTCGTAGACAGCTTAATCTGTGGTTTAATACTGTCACTTTCAGTCAGTTCAGTCTGTATGCTCAGTTCAGTCTGTATGCTCAGCTCAGTCTGTCAGCTTACCAGCTGCAGTGCGCGATTCACAGATCCACTACAGTCCGATTGACGTGGATGTAGTGTCAACTTAGTCAACTATCAGTTGAGCTGAGCAATAAGTCTGTAGTACAGGCGGGACTTATACTAACCTCTGTAGCGTTATCTAATGACCTCAGGGCCGGCAAGAGCCGTCACGGGCCCCTGGGCTGAGTGATCCTGGGCCCCCTATTTTCCCGATTTAGTGTCTAGCCGCCTCCGTGCCGTTTTTTTAAGCATTTAACAATATATCTAAAATGAATTATAGTTTGATTAATTCTCTTGCTCATAGTAGCAACTTTATTCCTCTCAAAAATTACTATGTGAACTGGAAAACCATGCTAAAATCTTTGACAGAAAAGATTTTACATTTGACCGGGCCAGGGCTCCGGGGCTCTGGCCCCCCTGCCCAACCCTCTGGGACCATGATTTGTATGTAGGCCTATCTATCTTGAAATGATAGGGTAAAAAAGAAACTAAGTTTAAATTGAGTCATTTGTTTACTACTTTACATTATTATTTACCTATGCTTGAACATTTTTATATAAAAACCTTTTACTTTTTTTGTACAATATGTATTTTATAATTTGTAAAGCTTGTTGAAAGGCTAAGAAATCCTATTGACATATGAATAAGAAAGCTTTATTTGAAGTTTGCTGTTATTTTAAGTTCATAAATTTACAAAATTACGAATATTAACAAAAATGTCTTTTTACAAACACAATTAATATTTTATTTTTAAAATAGCGTTAAAATTCAGTTTCAGCTACTTATATTTTAAACATTCCCCCCTCCCCTCCTGCAAATAAGGCCTCTCTCCTATTGATGCCAGCTCTAGGGGCCCTTGGAGGACTTTTGCAGGGGGGCCCATATTTTGTAGATCCGGCCCTGGGGGGGGGTCATAGATCCTGATCTAGGTTTTAATATTGGTGACATCATTTGGCAAAAATCAAGCCTTCATAATTTCTAAGCATAGGCTATTGAATAGCCGCAATAACTTGAAACTTACATTTGTTAATTGACCAAATCCAACTGGCCAGAAGGAAGTGTTTCTAAATGGATCTGTTGGATATGGATCGATGGGCGTTCTATCACCATGCCTAAAGAGCTGTAAAAATAATTCATTAATGGTTTAATAAAATACAGTAAAACATGTTTTTATAAATACTTAAGCCTAATAAACAGTAACTTAGTAGGTTTTTTCGTTTTGCCCTTTGACAATACCACTGGGTCGCAAAGACATCATCATCGCGATCAGTGATAGTGATGAAATTAAGAGCATCTTTTGTGATCACCGAGACATAACTTATCATGTTATTGCAACAACAAAATTATTAAGCGGAGCAAAGTGAAGCAGAAAACAATTTCAATTTTTGATAATGCCTATATAGTTTAAAAGTAAGTTCAAGATTTTAAATTTTACATTGGCCTCAAAGGTTTCCATGATGGTTACTACAAAATAACGATGTAACTGTAAACAAAGAATCATAGCAATGTTTAAAATCAAACCAAATAGCCTATGGCATAAACACAGTAGGCCTACAAAGAAAAAAAACTGATGATGACTACTGATCAAATAATACAGAAAAAGTATTAAGTTTTACGTACGCCATTTGAAAACTAACCTAAGTTACCACTGACTGAATATGTATACTGTAAGTTGAAGATTTTTTTTATGTAATTTTTATAACAAATAATATTTATCTAAAGATGTGATTGGGAACTAAAACCTATATGAATCGGCAGTTTTAAACAACTAGATATTCTCAAATCCCTATATTATGTTAAGTTATCTGAATCTAGGCTATTATGAATGTGCGTTCTTAATTTTTACTTTAAACAGTGCAAGTAAAATTAACTTATACAGTAACTTATCGATATTAACAAATTGAAACATATCAGCTGACAACTACGATAGGCTAAATAAATATTGATCAGTAACTTATCAACAAACAATTTAAAAAAATGTTATAGCCTACAGTAATGAAATAAAACTGTTCTAAACAAACCATACCTTTTTGGTTCAAAGTCATAATTTAGAACAGTTTGATTTCCATAATCCACATAAGTGGTATTTACTCAGGGGAGGTATAGATGAGCTTACGATGACAGCTCATCGTAAGCTCATCGTGGATTGACAAGATTGCAGCGTCAAGGAAACGAAGTAGGATCAAAAGTTGACTTCTTCAACGAACAGTTGTCCTCCTTCAGAAGAAAAACCGCGAACATTATCCTTGCTATGCCTGTTTTGTAGATGATGTATGTTTTGTCCCAAAATCTGTTATTTCTTGTTATTCATTCATAGATTGATTGTTGTTAATGTTTCACGTAGAAGTTATTGTCATCATAGTTTAATACATTGTTAAATCTTCAGGAGATATCTGTTGTTGCTATACTTTCAAAGTCTACATGCATTTTCTGAAATCCAAATTAATATTAAATATTTTTTTGTTATTATCCGTTATCTGTCATGTTGTCTGTTTGTTGTTATTTTACTTTGTTAATGTTATTATCTGTTATTGTTGTTCGTTGCTATGTTGTTGTATTACTTTTTGTTGCAATGATGTTTTGTTCAATGGTAGCCTATATGCAGCTTCTCGTTATTTCAAATGCAATTTTTATCTTTCCATTCTACTCATGTGCTTAAATATATTATTTTGTAAATGGTGTATCCGTTGGAATGAATAAATAAATACATAAATAAGCTGTGGGCTTCTCATTAGCTGAGGGAACACCATTACCGTAACAATACGGTTTGAAGCCATCGACCTCGGTGGTCTAGTGGTTAGCGTGCCGGGCTGATATGCTGACAGTCCCGGGCTCGAATCCCGCTGGTGGTGCTAACTTTTTGACTAAGATTTTTTCATTATCAGCAAGTTTGGTTTGGTTTGGTATGACAGTTTAATTTTATTATGAAGTCATTATAAAATTTTAATTGAGCAATTTCTAGTTTTATTTAATGAACAGAATTATTTGTTCTATTAATAGGCCTAAACTTTAGCCTATTTATATTATTTCATTACAGTAGAGTCCCACAAACTCGGCGTAATGTGGACTGGAAGGGTGCCAAGTTTGTGAAATGCCGGGTTATCGGGAACTAGGGTTAAAAATAAGAACAATACAATTTTTATTCCTTTTAGCTGCCTTATTTATTTACATTTATTTTACAAGTAGGTATTAAGTCATCAGATATAGTACAACAAATCCTTGTCACGAGTTGCAAATGCTTTGACTTGAGCCCATGTTTAACTCGGACTAAAAAAATCACTAATTTTCTGAGCCAGGTGATGGCCGAGTTATCCAGACTGCCGGGTTATATCGAGTGCCGAGTTTGCGGGACTCTACTGTATCAGCAAGTTTGGTTAGTTCGGTTAGGTTATGATAGTAAGTTTAATTTTATAATAAAAAAATTATAAAATTGAATTTGAGGCATTTATAATTTTATTTTATGAACAGAACTATTTTTGCGATTAGTAAACCTTCATTGCCAAAATGCTCTCTACTACAGCGCTGTTCACGGAGGAATTTTGAACTAATACCTCAATCGTAGGCTACCTCCCCTAAGTCAGACCCCACATAAGTTTACATATTAAGTCCAAATATTAGGTTATTTTTGCCTAAACAAGATCAGTTGTCAATTTCAATTTTTTTAAAGTTAGGCCTAGGCCTAAGCGTTGAAAATTATTAAAACAGAAGGATAATGGATCGTAAAGGATAAACAACAATATCGATAGGTATAGGCCAATCGAGAAAATATTGATAATAATGAATGAATGTTCCCTTTAACAGCAAAGTATCAAAACATCCCTGTGGCGCAAGTGTGACTCTATCCCCCATGAAAGAAATGGAACATGGTATCATCAAGAATACATAACTTAAGTTTGACAATAAGGCTGTAACTCGTACCACGGTACCTAAGTTGATAGGCCTAGGCTAGCCTACTGATAGTTTGAAGTGGGTAGCCTAGGCCTAACTTACAGTAAGTTTTAGGGTTGGTAAGTTATAGAAAATCTAGTGATGCTAAACTGTAGGCTAATCAGTCTGAACAAAATAAAAACCACACACAAATTGTCACATTGTTAATATGCCTATGCATGGGCCCTACTCTGAAGCCTAGCCTAGGCCTATTTCCAAAACAAAAACATTGACATTTCTACCATAAAAGTGCTTACCACATTTGCAAATATCACTTCGCCTAGTTCATTCTCTAGAATCCTTGAATTTACAATACAAACTGCCTGACAAACTATAAAAAACGTAAACATATGCCTAAAACAGAATAATTCAACCATTTTAACCTCAAAACCAGTATTATTCGTTAGTGAGTGAGTGAGGTCCTGCAGCGCAGCTAGGTGTCACTGTCACACCATGTCATGTCACCATCATCGATATGGGTGTCACTACTCACTAGCCAAAGTGCGCCGCAGTTCGCCAACTCGCCGCTAGAGTGTATTAGTGTGCAGCAGTTTACCTAGTTAGTATAGTAACCGCTAGGTGTCACTAAAACATAGAACATGTTAGTTTATTTATTTATTTGTAATATTAAATTATTCAGGCACAATAAACCGGTTTAACGATGACAAAAGAAAACTACAATCGATAAACTAAAGGTTTAAAGGACAATATTGCTATTTAAAGCCGTAGTAATTTGCTATGAATCCTCTGTATGCACCGACACTCGCAGGGAGTGTTGAGTAGCTAGAACATGACTACCGCACTTGGCTAGATCGTAGAACACAATTAGAATAAGTAGATGTAAGATAAACACAGTGATATACTATTTGTTTGAAAAGCCGAGAGTCGCGTCCCCAACCGGGGATCGATGATTGGCTTATAAGAAATTGAACGTTATTGTCGACACTAGTGGGGTGACTAACTATCTGTGGAAAATGTCAATTTATAGGATGCTGATGCTATGCTATTCAGATTCTTCCAATTACTTATCTATCTCTAGTGATGTGGTGTGTACCTATTAACCTTCTCAATTAACAATTAGTTACCCTGTGTTTAACCTATTTTTTGTCATCATGTCATTAAGTCATTTTGACGAAAAAAGTGGAGTTGTATCCTTCAAAACAAGCTGGGGAACTTGGTGGCAAACAGTTGATGAAGTTTACATTTCAGTTGACTTGCCAAGTAACACAAAAGCGAAAAATGTTAAAGTGACTATTAAAACCAATAATGTCGAATGTATTGTATATGACAAAGTATTGTTCAAGGTGATATATGCTGATAACTTAGGTCTAGCCTAATCGTTAAGAAAAACAGTAGCCTACCCCAAGAAGACCTATGTAGCCTAATTTTACTTGAAATAGCAGGCTGTCCATAATAACGAACGTTTTTAACAATTTAAAGTAGGCCTAGGCCCAGCGTTTAGAACAATTACGATTTTATGTTACTTTATTGGCAAATATCCCATATAGGCTATAGGTCTAAGGAATAAGCTTTTATTGTTGTAGGTCTCGTGTAGGATCTGGGCCCCGGACCAATTTACTTTTTTTTTCGTTTCGAGGTCCCCAGAGGCCATAAGTTAAACATCATCTGTTCAGATTCATACAGCATGAATAATGGCAAAAAGTCCCAGGACAGATGAATAACTTATTTAAAAAAAATAGGCTTACATACTTAATAAAGATAAGGGCTGCACTTTACGTTAGGTCCTACACTTATTCGAATGAAATTATCAATCAATATATCGATTAATCGATATTTTCATTCGAATGAGTGTAAGACCTAAAGTAAAGTGCAGTTAAGATAAGCTACAAAACCTGGAACTAAGCTAAACTTAGGCTATGAATAAAACATACTCCCTTAAGTTACCGTACTTGTATTGGTTAGTCTGTGGCTAGGCCTACTGGTCATAAAAATTAGCCTACTCAGCAATAACTTAATAGGCCTACCATTGTGTAACGGGACGAAAAAAAAATCTTAATAGTAAGTTAGGCCTAACTTAATCAAGAGTTAATAAGATATGTGTACAGTACATCAAATTAACTTAACTTACATTAATTTTAATTAGCGAAATACATTGGCGAAAACCCAAACCGTAACTGATAACTAAATCAAAAATGGTGTAGCCGTTCAAAAATGTCTTGAATTTGCAATGCAATGCTACGATACCTTCAGAAGGTAAACCTTTGATTTAAATTTGCTTCTCGCATATCAGCGTGCTATGTGGTAAGCTCGTAGGTAGGGATGCTTACAACATTTGCTTCTATAAATCAGGCCTAATAAATTATTGTATTAATTCAACATAATTTTAAAAGAACTTTCTAAGTTAGATAATTTAACACTAGGCCCTAATACAGTATAGAGTCCTGCAAACTCGGCGTAATGTGGACTGGAAGGGTGCCGAGTTTGTGAATTGCCGGGTTATCGGGAACTAGGGTTAAAAATAAGAACAATATAATTGGTAAGCTAATTAACTACCTCTTTTATTTATATTTATATTACAAGTCAGTATTAAGTCATCAGATATAGTAAAACAAATCATTTGTACGAGCTGAGAATGATTTGACTTGAGCTGGTTTGAGTCCATGTTTAACTCGGACTCAAAAAATCACTAATTTTCTGAGCCAGATGATGGCCGAGTTATCCAGACTGCCGGGTTATCGAGTGCCGAGTTTGCAGGACTCTACTGTACCAAAACCCCGGTCTGACAGGCCCACGGGAATTTTCAAAAACGCATGTTGGCAACACTGTTTAGGCTACTTGGGAGATTCCATTCCCCCAATACCTTCCCCCCTTTCCTCTCCTACCTATTGATATATTGTTTGTTCATTTTGCATGGGTACCGTGACCTTGACAGGTTGTCTGTTCATAACATGCCTGTCTCAGAAGCCCATCGTTAGTGTATTTGAAAGCGGGGTCTCACAGGCCGAGGGTTTCGGTTTGTGTGTGTCTAAGCGGGGTCCATTATTTTTCAAATGAGGTCTCACAGACCGGGGGCTTTGGTTAACGTCAGCCTAGGTAGGGTTTCGGTATTAGTGTTAAGGCTAACTTACTTAAATATTTAATAAAAAATTAGTGTTAGGCCTATTTTTACTGGGTTTATTTTTAGGGTCATCTATACAAACCAATTCACCCTGATGACAGTGTGTGGACCATAGAAGATGGTTGTACTCTAAATATAGTTCTGTCTAAAGCGGAATATGACCAAAAAGATACTTTATGGGAATCCATTTTAAAGGACGGAAGCTACCAACCAGATCCTTTAACACTGCACGAGATGAGAAAGAAGCTTGATCTAGAAAAATTTCAGATTGAGGTATCTTAAGTTTTATTTTTTAAATGATATTCATCTATTTTGACCCCTGTTTCCATTCAACAGAAAACCAAGAAGAGGTTTGAAAACTTTGATTGGAAAACAACAATTTTTCAGTTTTATACAGTTTTTCGGGTTTTTAAGTTTTTTTATAAAACAGGAATATTGGATGACATTCTTAGTTTTAACTTTTACTTTGTATTTTTAATGTTTCAAGTCTAGACACTAAGATAAAAATATCGGGTCTTTTCTCATTACAGGCTGTTTTTACCTGCTAAAAGTTTGCTTAGAATTTTTCATACCGTACATATTAAATAGGCCTATCAGATTTAAGGTTGAATAACTTATATTTAAATACACTTATAATGAAAATATGTAAATTGCAGTAAATTAACTTATACAGATTGTACAGTTAAATTTTGAAAACTTGTTTTAGAACCCTGGTATGGATTTCAGTCGAGCAAAACTCTCAAAAAGCTATGACCAAATGCCTGGAATGAGCGTGCAGAAAAATGAAGACACCACCACTAAAAACTAAGCATCTTACATCCATTTTATAATACTCATCATACATCATTAAAAACATTTTTTTATAATTACTGTTTCATTAATATCCGATTTAGGTTTCATATTTGAGTTAAGAAATTGCATGAATAATGCATTAAAACACTGCAACCACTTCTCAATCCAGGCCTTTAAAGCCAGCAATGTAGTTTTGTCTTAGTTAGTCGTATGTCTACAAAATATCTACAAAGTAGCTTTTTTTCAAGATCACTAATTATGATCATCATCATCATCTTTATTTTATAAAATTTACAGATTGGTACATGAAATTGTGTCAACATAAGTTTTCTTATCTAGATTGCTAAAACTAGTGAATTACAGTAGTCCATAACAGATAATAGCTATATCTATTGTAAGAAAGGGAATTAACCCTGTACCCACGGTGCTCATCTACGCAACACTGTTCACATTACACTTAGTCGACCAGTTGGTGTGAACAGAAACACCCTGTATATTCTTTTTACATTTATACTTGATGTACAGTATCAAGATTCCTGATCAACATAACAATAGTGTTTTCCTCAAGCTTGAGTATATGAGGTGGTAGACCGCTATCAGAGAGCGTGTTACAAAATTCGGCCAGATAACAATTTTGCCCAACGTCGTTTTTCGTAACCATTTTATCGCTGCTTAAATATTGTTGGTACTGGCCAGGAATGTTGTCCATGTTTGCGCTACAGTATTCATTTCTAAAGTCTTCATTTTTCACACACAATATGGCACGGTCAATTATGTCATTGCTCTTAATGATTGCATACATGTTCTCGTAAATATCAGCAACAGGATTGTCCAATTATTACAGGATCATATGATATTCACCTGCGACTTAAGTGTTGGAGGTAGTTGACGTAGTGCAGGCTACAGTTGCGTTACTTCCCTCGATGTTACTTCCCTCGATAAACGTTTGCTATGATTGACAGACACCATAGTGATATGCCTGCAACAAACATCAAGAGATTATGCGAACAATATACTTACTAGTAAATAATTATATTAATATTAATGCTATTCCCTACTTTCATTTTTCTATATCAAATCAAACAAGTCTAGAATGTCCTTTTACTTTTGGTTGAACAAAGTATAAAATCATTTTAGCGATATTAAAGATCTTATTGCTTTAAATTACTACAATATTGCTTATTTGTTCATAACTGATCATTGATGAAATTATTCAATTCTTGATGTATCCTATTGTTATAGGATAATTAGTCAAGTCATAGTATTAACAAAATTACGTTTCCACCATGTTCTGTGATTAGGTTTGTTTGGCCTCAGTCATCAACAGCCATTGATGTCCGTTGTCAATCCATGAGGAGGGTTTGATCTTAACCAAATTTCTATCCATAATGTCTAACAGCTTACAGTTTTCTCTTTTTCTTTTTCCTCTTCTTTTCTTTTTAGTTTACTGTATTGTTCAACCTCTAACAAAGTGTCCTTGAACCTTATAAGAGAACAAATCAGCTAAATATGGCAAGAGCCTCAAAAATCTTCAGAGACCTTTTACAGT